GAAATCATATAGCAAATTTGATTCGTAGGCGGGGTTTGGAGGTCTATTTGAAATCTGCACCAGAACCCCCAAAGTGGTCTATATAGAATAATAATGTATGATGCATCAGTTGCTGCTTCATATAATAGAATAATAGGTCTTAAGCTTTACCTTGAAAATATCTCTAAAATATTTAGCTTAGACTATGTTTCACTATGGCAAAAATATAAGAAAAATTCCATTCATCTTGAGATTCTCATCACACTCTATTACATCAGGTTTGTTAGAATTAAGAAAAGGTTGATTTATCACTCCACATAATTTTTGCCCAATCATTCTTTATCTAGTATTAATATTTTAAATACTATGCAAAACATGCCTTCTTATTTGTTAGTGAGATTAGAGGCTTTTATCATGCAATATAATTATTTAAATCAACAGAATGGAATATTCAGCTAATAGTATAAGGTGAAATAACTTGGTTGGTCTTTTTTGTTTAAAGTTAGAAAAGTTCTGGTATGAATAAGTGATAATTTTTTCCTTTATTATCAATTATAAGTTACTTAAGCCGATTATATTATAAAGATTCAATAAGTAATGATTGACCAGAATGAGGTTTTGAATTTGTGATTCCAGTTTCATTTATTCTTTTTAAAATATCAAATACTGTTATTACTTCATAACTAATGATTGAGTCAATAGTTTAATAACTATTATCACGTCAGTGATAAAAAAATATGTTGCCTCTTTGTTTATTAGTTAATTCTCAGGATATTTTTATTGTTTTTGGGAAGATAAAGTTCATTTTGATTTAAAATCAAAATAAACAAACTAAATATGCATTTATTAAGTTTGATTCATGTAAACAAGATCTGAAATATCACATACCCACAATTTTATTGTGTTATATAATATTACTGGTATGAAATCACATCTAAAAAATGGTGTTTAAGGACTTTTAGTAACCCTCTGTACCTTTGCAAAATATATGGAATTTATCTTATGAAATCTATCCAAAAAATTTAAGGAATCAAATAATTAATATTTTTTTATTAAATTTTAAGTTTAAATATAAATATTAAAAAAGGAAGGAGTTTATAAAGAATGAATTATCACATCTGAAGTGTAGTTTTATCATTATAAAATCTTTCATTCTTATGTAATTTAGTAAATTTGTCACTAATGTCACACCTTCTACTTTTCTATTTTTATTAAGTATTTTTGGATTTGGAAATTTTTTTTATATTTGTCACTTCCTTATTAATTAATTACCATCAAAAAAAACCTCAGATCATATGATTTATTAGTCGAAAGTAATCTTTTCTAGCATTATCATCAAAAAAAGCTTAGATCATGTGATTATATAATAATCTGTCACATTCTCCATTTATTTTTTTTAGGGTAAAGTTGGTTAATTTGTGATGTGAGATTTGATAAATTAGCCACATTATATATATATATATAATCACATGACCTGAGTTTTTTGGGGGAGTTGTAATGCCGGCTAAAGGTAGTATCTCAAAAATAAATCGGCGATTTAGAAACAATGAACAATTGACATTTATATACTAAGCTAATTTGGCTTTTCAGCTAAAATGTAGATCGATCAAAAAAGATGATTTCTCTTTATTTCTTGTGCTGATTGTTATAAATATTGTCTACCACGATGGAATTAATTTCGAAGGAATTTTCAAAGGTGGAGAAAAAGCAAAAAGAGGTAGCTGATTCAACGGTTGACAACATCGAAAAGATGATTAATGAAATTCAAGAAGCTCAGAAACGCTTAGAAAATGGTATTGTAATAATTCCTCATTTATAGATCAAATAATTTAATTTTTAAGTACTTTTTTTTTTAAAGATCCTGAGAACGCTGGTGTTGCATTAAAGGAACTGGAACAGAAATTCAAAGAACTTGCAGCAAAATCATTAGAATCTCACAAAGAATTTCAAAAAGTAATAGCACGTTATGAGAAATCAGTAGACAAGGTATATAAAAGGTTTCTTAATATTCTATTATATTTTTATTCACCTTTTATATGATATTGCAGAAATGGAAGAATGACATAACTATTGCAAGTAACCCGGAAGTATTTGCCAATAAAGAAAAGGTTCTCAATACAACAGTAGCTTTACACTTCATTCGTGAAGGCAGGTTTGAACTAGCAAACAGATTTATAAGGGTAATATATATTTTTTATCAATATATTTGATTTGATGAATTAAAAAAAAAAATGGAAACAAAAAAATAATATATAATGGTAAATACTAGGAAGCACATTTATGTATTCCTGATACAATACAGACACAATTCCACGAAATGTATCAAATTTTAGGAGCCATAAAACTCGAAGATTTAGAGCCTGCTATAGAGTAACATTATTTTATTTCATTATTTGTTTGTGATCTTAATTATGATTTTAATAAATAATTGATCGTACAAATTATTTAGATGGGCAAGATTAAAAAGCAAAGAACTTGAAAAAAGGGGTAGCACATTAGAATTTGAGCTTCATCGACAACGTTATGTTCAACTTCTTATTGATCGCCAAGAAGAGGCATTAACTTATGCCAGAAGGAAATTTTATCTCTTCAGAGCACGTCATATCTTTGGTAATATTTATTAAATAATTTATATTTTAAAAATAGTAATCCTAATATAAATATTTCGTTTATCAGATATACAACGATTGATGTGTGCCTTAGCTTTTAAAACTCGTTTATCAACTTCGCCTTATAAAGATCTTTTGTCGCCCGATTTGTGGATTGAATTACAAAATAAGTTTATGCGTGACTTTTGTAATCTATTAGGAATGTCAAGTGAAAGCCCCCTATATATTAGGTAAATACGAAATCAGTAACGGCTATTAGCGATAATCATTTTTAATATATATATATATATATATTTATTGATCAGTGTAACGGTAGGTGCGACTGCTTTACCCACAATCTTAAAAATGGCTACTATTATGAAAGAAAAGAAGAACGAGTGGAGTCAACAAGATGAATTACCTGTAAGGTTCAACAGTTAAATAAATAAAATTTAAGGTATTCATTGTTCAATTCTTAATAAATCTTTCTTACTTATAGGTTGAAGTCCCTCTACCTGATTATATGCGGTATCATTCAATTTTTGCCTGTCCAGTTTCTAAAGAACAATCCACCGAGGAAAATCCTCCAATGATGTTGCCTTGCGGACACGTGATTTGCAAAGAGTCTCTTAATAAATTGAGTAGAGGTAATAGGTAAGTGATTCATGTCCTTATTTTTTAGTTATATAACCTTTACAATAACCTTTGTTTTCTAGTCGTTTCAAATGTCCGTATTGTCCTCATGAAAGCACAGCAAATCAGGCACTGCGCATTTATTTTTAATAATTAGAGTCGTAATGTGTCATTGGTAATGAATTAAGTTATAATATATTGTTAAGTACCTGATTAAATTATTATAAGGAGCAAAGAGAGTAAGTCCTGTTACTTCAATTTAAGAAATGAAAAACATCTTTTAATCTTCGAAATTCATTTAATTCAGCAATAATCCTTGAATAAAGGAAATTTAATTAAAAGATTTTATTATTAATGTTTTAGATATTAATTCATTTAAGATGGCAAATATGAAATTTGCGTATTTTAATTTAAGTTCATGGCCAATTATTTTTCATTATTAATTTAGTTTTAAAAAGTATTAACAAAAAAAAAATGAAAATAACAATACAAAAACAATAATATAATAATAATTATAATAATAAACAGTAATATTAACAACAATAATAATGTATGTATAACTTATTATCTATATAAATATAATATCTAGAAAACAAAAAAAAAAGGAAAATGTCTATCTCTATATATGACCAATTATGAAATAACCCCATTGTTCAATAATTTAGTATTAGCTTTATGAATATTACTAAAAGAATTATTCTTATTGTTAGAGGAAGTATTAATGTAATAATTACGATTGTCTAAAAATTTTTCTAATATAATAGCAGTAATATAACCACCATCATGGGATAAAGGTTTAATGGTTGTAGTACGAGTAGATAATGAAGAAGAAGATGATAAATCGTAGGCTTTATCTATATAAGATTTCCATTGTCCGGATTCAAAATGAGATTTGGGCATTTCAACACATATCCCTTGTAATTCCATTAACCGTTTTAAACCTAATTCTTCAATAAACTGAGGTCTTGAAATATAAATAAAAGGTTTTCCATGACCGATACATTCCGAGCAAGTACCGTATCCCTAAAGATCAAGAAGTTGAAAAGTTTTATAAATTTATCATGAATATGTAGATATATATATTTTTTAAAAAAGGGTAACCTATACTTACTAATTTACCAATAACAGCATCGGCAGCATTAGTTAAATCAGGTATATAGGCATCTTTTGGACAAGAATAAAATCTATCAGGTAATTTAATACCTTTACTACCACACACAATAGCTATCCAATTATCAGGTAAAGAAGACGTACCCCAATCTTCTATACCGACTAAATTTTGTCCACCAAAAGACACCATTAAAATTTTATGAGTAATAAAAATTCTTTTCGGTATACCAAGATTTTTTAATACTATTTCTTTACAAGTTTTTGATTTACGTACCACCAGAGGTACATCAATAACATTACGATATTGTTTGAATAATTTGGAAGATGGAGAAAAAAAAGAATTAATATCACTAAGATAATTTACTAATTTTTCTTCATTATACAATAATACCGATTTTTCAGCAGATGGTGGCGCTATAATATTACAAGGATAAAGTTGGGTACCCGAAAATGATGGTATTGGTATATGACCTGGTAACCTAATTAATAATTCGGAATGTTTATAATCTTCTATAACTTGTTCAACAAGTTTTTTTATTGTATTATCGAATTCATCGCCTTCACATAATCCATTATATACCGCATCAAAAGTAAAGTTGCTAATAATAACTGATGGTATTCCAGCCGCCGCTGCTGCTGCACTATGTAAAAAAAAAAAATTTATTTTACAATTTGCACACTTTGTTTTTTTTTTTTAAAAAAAAAAATATAATATAATAAAATAAAAAAAAAGATATTTATATTTACTTACCATGGAAGAAAAGGTGCATCAGATAATACAATATCGGCTTTAAATTCTTTTAACCATTGAATTTCTCTTTCTAAAATTACAGGTTTATTTTCTAAAAATTTTATTAAATCATTAATAGTTTCTTGTCTATCTACAGTATATGCTCTAGGTTGTTTTACTCCTGCATCTATCGGCGCATTTCTATATCTTGCTCCTAAATCTATTGCTCCTTGAAATATAAATTTTGGTGCATTTGATATAATATATAATGTATGATTTCTTTGTAAACTCAATATTTCTGATGCTACTTGCACTACTCTAGTGGCATGCCCAAATCCTATTTATACCAAAAAAAAAGTAGTAAAGAGTTCATTTGAATAAACATTAAAAGGAAAGAAACAAATTAATTATCCTTAAACTTACCATGTCCTGATACGTAATAACAAAATATATAATTTTTTGGTTTTGGCATCACCTTTTGTAAAAAAGGTGATAAAGACCTCCTAGAAGGAATTCTTTTTGGCATAAGTTTAATAAAACAAAAAATAAGTATAAATAAACCAAAATATATTAAGGTCTCCACTTTTCTATAGAATAAATAAAAAAAAAGAATGCAAAATTTACGAAAAAATATAATAATACTCAACATGAATAAATTTTTTATTTATATAAATTTGGTTACACCAAATGTATGTTCATCAAACTTCAATTTATCTGGTTGATCCTTTTTAGACAACTATATTTTTATCTTTCAACCCTAAATTAGTCTAAATAATCCAATTCGATTCTTTTCCAATAGCGTTATTTTTATTACCAAATATAAGCAAATCTGTACTTCATTACAAAAATAAATTAACAGAAATAAATCAGATCAAGCAATATAAACAAAAACACAAATATTTGAACTAAAAAGCAAATAAAATTTTATTTTCTTGTTATATGATGCTTTTTATGGTAAATGATAAAAAAAGAACAAACCCTTCTATTTTTCTTAATAAAAAAAGGAAACCTCCATCCAAACATGGTCTTTTACAAAAATAAAATAAAAGAGACGTAAATACAAATAATATCTCCTTTATATATATTTATACTAATATATATATTATAGATATATTTTTTTTTGATTAAAAATGTATATTATTCTTTTGATCCGCTCTTAATGCTGTAAAATATATCAAAATAATGACAGAAGAAGACATTTTCTCCTGTTAATATACGAAATAACAGAGTTTTCGCAACTATGCACTTTTCCTGTTACCTGTTAATAATTTTTAAAAAAAATCACCTGTAAATCCGCAAATCATCAAGCTGAATATGATCTACTCGCAATATTGCTTAATCACATACTAGGTTCTCCTCCAGTACTTCGAGCTAGCAACTTTGTTATAACAAGATAAAGGCATACTAAAGATACTATTATCCATTTACGCCATTGATCGAAAATTCCTCGTTGACCCGCAACATTATTATTTGTATTACCTTGCGGATTATTATTACTACCATTGGCCCTAATAAGATTGTTATTAGCATTCTCGGTATGAGCCGCGAGAGTTCCACCTGCAACAATACCTCGCAAAGGATTTTCGTTACGATTATTGAGCCTACGTTGTTGAATTTGATTTCTACCGTCCACTAAAGGAACTTGTTGATTTGTCTCATTTCGTCTTGCTGCCTGATAAATTTGCTTATCATTTTGTGAAAATTCATTTCCATTTGTTGCAATGTTATTTGATGATGAAGAATTATGGATTGGGTAAAGAACTTCGACAGGTACACATTCTGGGACACAGAGTTCAGGAAAAATCTCTAATTAAAAAAAGGGAAATAATCAAATAATCAATTTAATAAAGCAATCATTGAATTCAATTCTGCTTACATACGTACCTTTGAACTTTGGGTTATTCAGATTGAATTGATGTGATCGTGTAGCATATATTCTTTTATCGGCATCCGTCGTCTTAATACTCCCTGTAGTAGCTTCATTACTGGTCTAAATTATAAATGCAAAGGATCAAATTAATATAGCATTAAATACAATATACACATAAGTGCAGAATATGTGTCAAAAACAATAATACAACACCATAAAACTCAATAATCCAGTCAATATAGTAGGAACACTCCAGGCAGGATTCCAAGTACTTGGATGAAAATCCGACATAGACAAACATAATCTAGTGTCAGGCTGAAACCGTCCTAATAAACCAAAAAAATAAAAATAAAAATAAGTAAATAAAAGAATTTTAACAATAAATTATATATTTATATTATTTAAACGTAAAAAGTACCAGAAGGTGTTGTCATACGAATTGAGGGAGGTTTAAAGGGATATTCAGCAGGAAATAATAAGACACCTATAAAGATGATTATACCAATAAAATTAACAACATGTAATATGAAAGGTAATTTTAAAGATCATGTAATATTTACCATGATACTCTCCGTTATGGTATGGTGTATCCGGAGGTCCACGAATAACATAATGCCTAAGGGATAAAGAAAGTTATTAATCACATAATATCACATTGTAGTTATAAGCTTAAAGCGGGCTAATCGATCTCTGATCTATATAAGGAGTGAGATTTATAAGAAATTACCATTCCAAAATATTATTTTCAAGAGGCTTTGCCATCAAATATGGTGGTGGATTCTTTAACGTTCAAAAGTTAAAAAGTAATCAGTATGTCTGTGTATGTCTGTTATTGCAATATAAATGAAAATAAAAGATGTTGAATAATATAGCATACTCTCTGGAGGTTATTGTATTCTTTGCTTAATCTTTTAAATGCTGCCTTGGTAGCCATTTTTAAGCTTATTCTAATGAAACTTTTCCTGCAGAAAATATAAAAAAGTAAGGTTGACCGGTTGTATATTATTCGCTCAAGTATATCAATCGAAAACCTCTTCGGCGGACTCAACAATCTAATGTCAATTAAATTATTCTTTGAGAAAGCCACAAAGCCAACTATTAATGAGTACAACTAATGACGTGGTGATATAAATCGCATAAAACAATAATCAATGAATAAATATATTAAATATTAAATATTAATTTATTAGTTACAATTAAAAAATTGATTTCTGGTATTTCCGAAAATATGAATATGTGACAATTAGTATATATAAAAGGAAGGGATCACTTGGTGCTTAATTTTGGAAGAATATGGTAAATAAAATCTAGTATTATAGTACATATAAAACTTCAAAATTTTAAATAATTATTGTTATTAGTACCGTATAATCGAGAAAATAAGCATCCCTTGAAATAAGCATCCATATCACTTTTGCTATCATATTTATAAAAACTAAAAATAAGCAACTTTGAAAATAAGTTCTTTTAAAATAATAAGATGATAATGAAAATATTAAAACCCTGATTTTGTTAGTTAATTCTTTTATCTGCTTAAAATGAACAATCTAACTTATTTTTATTTATATATTAGGGGTGTGCCAGAATCAGCTGATTTCACTTTATTATAAGGTCGATCTCAATCTCACCTGATAATCAATTTTGATTGGCTAAAAAAATTTATATATAAATACTATAAAACTGAAAAGTAAAATAGTTAAATTATAATAGTTAAATAGTAAGTAGTCAAATAAATAAAATAAAATTAATAAATAAAGTCATTTTTTGATCCATAAGTTTCTTTTTTGCTATTATTTTAAAATCAATTACAAAATCATAATTTATTTGTATAATAATTATTTATATTATGCATTGAGGTGATGATTAATGCAATGTGATATATATAAAATCCTTGGAAAATCCATAGAAAAAATATGAAAACACGCTCTTACATTCTTCTTTACATTCTTTTTTTTCAAACCAATATGCAAAGTTTTTCAAAAGCATCAAACTTTAACAAAAACTTTTTTTTGTAAACAACCTCAAAATAAATATCAAAAATTTTGCAATGCATATGCATATTACAAACAAGCAATACTTTGTGACTCTAAGCCAAATCATCAAAGAATAATGCAAGAATGTGTAGCAGCTTAAAGGGAAGTTAAAAAAAATAATACTGCCTTTATTGAAAATAAAATTTGGGAATATTATGACACTACACCTTTTACTATTCGCTTTCATCAATGAATTTTATGTCATATGATTCAACTAATATTTCTTGTCAAACCTCTACTCCATCTACTCTAAGACAGTTTGTTAGGTTTATTGATACTATAACAATACCGACAAATGTCAAATCACAACATATTGCAGCTGAAAAAATCAATTCAGCTGCAAAAAGCCTAGCTGAATATCAACGAATGATAGAGATTGCTACAGATAACTCAATGAAAGTTTATTATCATCTAAGATAATTGAAGAACAAAAAAATATATCAATACATAATGTACAGTTAATAAAGCTGAAACGTCATGCTGAAGCCCAATTAAGACTAGTAACAAAAAAACAGAAATTGTTAGAAGAGGGTATTGTAGAAAATATGATACTTCAGGAAGACCATTCATGGCTATGAAAGATCCAGATCTATAGGATAAAATCCATGATAGTGTTGAGTTTAGAGCTGCTCATACTGAATGAAAAAAAGTAGTTATAAAAGTTAAGACCATAAAGTATTTATGCGAAACTCTAGAAGAAAAATATAATACTTATCTATCTCATCAATGCTTATCAACTTATCTTTAATCTTAAAACCAACGCACCTTTGCCACACGTGGTTATCATCATCCAACAAAGGTTGGTCTCGCCTTCGTATCATGGATAGAAATGAAACCTCATATTGATGAATATTACTGTCTAGCTTCTGTCAAAGCCGCAAGAGTATTTGCTAAAGTTTTTGCTGATAAGGCAGTTATCATCTCTTAGAATGACAAGGTAAAGGTCAGATTGGATATTTTCACATTTAGTCATATGTTCAAAATAATCCAGTCAGTTAATGAACTAGTAACTATCAAAAATCACGATTTCCAACTGGTTCAAAAATGAAACTCATACCTTCTATTTATTTAGTCATTAATCTAGTAATACCCTTCATACTGGTCAGCTTTCCATATTTATTAGACCAGAATATTTCATTGGAACTTCATCAATAACCTATATAATAGATTTAGAAAATATTGTTTCGAATGAAGAGCTTTCCACTACCCTAAAGAAAAAAGGCAAAATTAGACCTATTTGGATTCTTCTTGTTGATAGTAGATCTGATAAAAACCTGAAGTATATAAAATAATATTCAATATGCTCACCTTTTTCGTGCTTTTGATCTGGACTACTAGACGATTCATACTCATACTCTAGATCAAAGTGCGTATAATCTGGTTGAATGCAGTATGGCTTCTTTTTCCGCAAAACTTGCTGGTATCACTCTACCTGTAAAGAAATTCAGATTACATCTAAATAGTCAAGAAAAAGTAGTAGATTAAAAATTAGCACGATAGAATTTCAAATATTTGGGAAAAAACTACGTGATATATAAAAAAGTGCTGATATATATAGGAAACCTGTGATGATAGAATATGTTAATCAGGAAAGACATCCATTCAATAATCCCAAGCCTTCAATATCATGGAAGTGGATTGAGAATCATATGCAGATATGCCACTATTCACTAGATATAAGAAAATGTAAAAATAATGAATGTTGTAATATATACAGAGTTTCAGATGCTGCTATCCTTTTAAATGAGAATAATGGATTCCTTTCTCTAATTGCGAAAGAAAAAGATAAATCCAATTCATGCTCTTCAATATCATGATAAACTCAAAATTCCAAAGTACAATAGCTGTTATCCTCTAATTTCATGAGAATTATATCAGCATTTATGTTGTAGCATATATGGCAAATACTTTCTGACCCTCAAGTTCATAAGTGATCATAAGCGTAGTATACATTCTAGACATCACAATAAGAAATTAAAAAGCTCTCAGGAACAAGCTAATAAGACAGAGATGGGTTGTATGCTTATTCCATTTAATCTAAATTTTAATGTCGCTGAAGATATAGTTCAAAGCAAAGGTATGGGACAACTTGAACGGGATTCTCACAAAGTTCAGTCAGATAAAGATTAAAAAAGAAAAAAGTTAGTTTTATATAATAATGTAATAACGTCAGACACTAAAATATCCTTACATATAATATGTGACTTTATTGTGTCATGATAAAATATAGGAATTGAATAAAATAATAAAATTAATAAAATGCTTTTTTTTGATTGCACTCAGCATGTGAATATTATTATTCTGACCAATCATTTTATTACAATTATATTCAGCATGTGATTTTTGCCAACATTTTTAGCCAAATCAAACTGATCAATCATTTTACATTGAGTATATCACGTGATCATAACTACCTGATATAAAGACTGACCCTACTTCCTTTTTATATCAGCTGATTTTTGATATGCTCCTTACCAAAATCATCATTATCATCATTAATGAAAGTAAAGCATAAAAAAATCTAAAAAATTTATTTTTTTGTAAAATCATGATAAAAAACTCATTCTTTTGAAATAGTAATATATTATTCTTTTAGAATAATAAAAAAAAATTTTTTTAGAATAATAACCTATCATTCCTTTAGAATGATAAAAAAATTGTTTTTTTTGAAAATGATGATATTTGTTCATTTAAAATAATAAAAAAATTGTTTTATTTGAAATAATGATATTTTGTTCTAAAAGAATAATAACAAAAAATCATTCTAAATTAATTATGTATCATTCTTTTAGAATGAATTAATAAAAAAAAAATCATTTTAAAAAATGATAATATATTATTCCTTTAGGATAATTAACATCTCTTATTGATAATTTGGATAATTGTATTATGATATTTGAATATTAGATCAAAAAATCTAGAAATTATATAAGTTACATAACCACTTTTACTATAATTAGTTTCATTTAATAATGATTTTAAGTACTAATAATTTCTTCTATAAATTTAATAAAATAAATTAAGATTTATAAATAATATAATTTTTATATAATTCTTTTAATAAATCAAATATTATTTTTAGAAAAATGTAGCTAATGATCCAGGTTATATAATACATTTTATCTGATTAATCAATTAGCTTTGAGTATTTATTAAATTAAATAAAAAATTTAGTATTATGATATTTTTGTGTAATATATTACTAAATATTATAAATTACAAAATAAGTATGAATATATTTAAGATAATAATTAACTTAATTAAGTATATATATAATATGTAATATGTAATTATGATAATTAATTAATATTTTTTTAAAAAAAATGTAATTATGAAAGTAGTTACAAAGGTGATAATTAATTATAGGAGATATAACTAATTATAGAAGACATAATTAACTAAAAGTGTTAATGTTCTTTTATAAAATTTAAATTTTATAAAATATTTTTTAATATATAAATACATAAATATATTTTCGTAGTATTATTGTATTACTAGGGAACTTGAACCATTGTGAGTCCGGAGCTCTTTTATGTGAATCACATAATTATTTTGAGTTTTTTATAAAAATTTACTAATAGATAATTTTTTATTAAATTATAACGGTTAATACACATAGATATTATCATTGATTGGGAAAATAGAATGAAAGATTAATTCAATTTTAGTATATAGATTAATTAAACTTTGTTATATTTTATATTTCTTATATAAATAAAGTTTCTTTTTTATTGAATTAAATGTAAATTTTTTAAGTTAATGTTTAAATAAATAAAGAATCAAATAGTTTAAATTTAATTAAGAATGGTTCCTAGCATAATAATATTATAAATCACATATAAAGTAAAGATTGATTATCATAAAAGTAAATCGAAAGCGTTCAAGAAACATGGTTGACAAAATTAATGTTAAATGGTAAAAGAGGTAAAGAGTTCACGATATAAATTGTTAGTTTCAAAGCCTGATAAAAAAATAAATAATTACATCTACAAAATGAATAATAAATCTGTTAGCAAAGGCGTACTTCGAAAATGCAAAGAAAGAGAAATGGAAACAGTTGAGGAATGAGAAACACGACTTAGTAAGGATTGAAAAAAAAAACATGATAGAAAAAGAAACCAAAAAACAGCGCAAAGAACGTTTAAAATATCAACGTGAAAAAATAAAACAACGAAGAGCAATGTAGGAGATAAAAAATTTTATTGGAGATACACAACAGAAATCTAACAATGGTGATATACAGAAAAATAACAATGGTACGCTGTTACGTCCGATTTGTAACTCAAATAAAATTCTCAAAATTAATAATGCTAAGACTAAACTCAGGGAATCACAACGA